TATTTAGTTTAAGTATTCAAAAGAGTATTGAGTCTTAATGGTATAATGAATGTTTATATGTTTATTTTTGTGTTTTAGGATAAAGAAAGAGGGAGAGATTAGATTTTATATTGTAGGTATAGATATTTAAAGAAAGTAATGTTTAAATTTGTGTTTTGGAGGGAGTTTATAAACAATGATGGATAATAATATAAGTATGATATTTGAAAATGTTTAGAGTATATTATAACATGTTTAATGATTGTAATTATTATTTTTTAGAGAAGATTATCTGTTTAATTTAATGTATTTAGATTTGTTTAGGATTTATATGTGTTTTAAGGTTTTTTTTGAAAAATTTTAATTAAGCCTGTACTCAACTCTGGGAAGGTTGGGGGAGGGTATGGGAGATTTGGGGAGGTGGGGGAGGGTATGGGAGGGTGGGGGGGTCTGGGGAAGGGATTTGTTTTGTAAAATTTAAAAACTTTCAATAAAAAAAAAGAAAGAAAGCACAAAGATCCTTATGGGACTTTAAATTAAGTGCATTTGGTTAACATGGTCATTTATTGAGATGGGCAGCTACAGGAATAATAATAATAATAATAATAATAATAATAATAATAATAATAATAATAGGCAGAACCTCCAATTTCAATCCAATCAGAAACGTTTCTAACAATCCATTAATGGAGAAACTTCAATGATTCAGTCAGTACCTGACAAGGAAGAAACAGTGCAGTTCTGGAAGCAGATATGGGATAACCCAAAGAAATACAACAAGGATGCGGCTTGGTTAAAAGAGGTGGATGCAAATAAAACAGAAGTTGAAATGAAAGAACTAGTAATAACAACAAAAATGGTAGAAAAAAGAGCAAAGAAAATCAAAAATTGGTCAGCACCAGGTGAAGATGAACTGCATGGGTTTTGGTTGAAACATCTAACTGTTATACACCCACTCATTGCCAAGCAGTTCAACAATATACTACAAGGAGGAGAAATTGAAAAGTGGCTTAACAACTGGGAAAACCTACCTAATAATGAAAAATCCAGCAAAAGGGGCAACAGCAGGCAACTACAGGCCAATTACCAGCTTACCAACAACTTTCAAATTACTAACTGGTGTGGTAGCTGATGCAGTACAACAGCATCTAGTTAAAAACAATCTCTTTCCACCTGAGCAAAACGGAAACCGCCCCAATAGCAGAGGAACAAAAGATCAACTCCTAATAGACAAAATGATCTTGGAAAACTGCAAGAAAAGGAAGACCAACCTGAATTTGCATGGATTGACTATAAAAAGGCATTTGACTCTCTGCCACATGACTGGATAATCAAGTGCCTAGAAATAACAGGAGTCAGTAGAAACATCAGAAAATTTGTGCAAAGATCGATGGCACAATGGAAGACACAGTTGCAGATCAATGGTGAGAGACTGGGAGAGGTTAATATCAAGAGAGGAATATTTCAAGGAGATTCATTATCACCATTACTATTTATTATTGCACTGTTTCCTCTGTCAACAATACTGAATAACTCAGGACATGGCTATCAAACATCAAAAACATCTGCCAGACTATCCCATCTCCTTTACATGGATGATCTGAAGCTGTATGGAAAAACATCATCTGAAATAGAATCGCTGCTCAACACTGTCCGTATATATAGCCAAGATATTGTAATGGAGTTTGGCTTGGACAAATGTGCCACACTTACTATCAAACAAGGAAAAATAATGAAAACTGAAGGAATCAAGATGCCCCACGAAAATAACATTAAGAGTCTGGATGGGGAAGATTACTACAAATACTTGGGTATCCTTCAAGCTGACAACATCAAGCACACTGAAGTCAAGAAAAAGATTAGAGGTGAATACATCAAGAGAGTGAAGAAGATCTTAAAGTCCAAACTCAATGGAGGAAATACCATAAAGGCAATCAACACCTGGGCAATCCCAGTCATTAGGTACACAGCTGGAATAGTGGACTGGACTCAAGCAGAACTAAAAGCAATGGATAGGAAGACCAGAAAAATAATGACAATGAATCATGCCCTTCATCCACGCAATGACATTGACAGACTTTATCTACCAAGGCAAATAGGTGGGCGTGGAATACTACAAGTACATCAGATGGTTGAAGAAGAAAAAATGGCTTTGGAAGAATATCCGAAGAACAATGATGAAGATGCACTGAAATTAGTATATCAGGAAGGCTTACTGACTACTGGAGAGACCAAACTGGCCTACAAGAAAGACCAAATGAAGAACAGAATAGAGGCATGGGAAGACAAAGCACTACATGGCCAATACATTAAAAAAAATAGCTGGGAAAGCAGATATTAATAAGACCTGGCAATGGCTAAGAGCAGGAAAATTGAAGAAAGAGACCGAGGGACTAATTCTGGCTGCACAAGACCAAGCCTTAAGGACAAATGCATATAAAGTCAAAATTGAGAAGACAGCAACAGACAGTAAGTGCCGCCTATGCAAAGAAGCTGAAGAAACAGTGGACCACCTGGTAAGCTGTTGCAAGAAGATTGCACAGACTGACTACAAGCAGCGGCATGACAAAGTAGCAACAATGGTGCATTGGAAGATCTGCAAAAAATATCATTTGCCTGTAAGCAAAAACTGGTGGGATCATAAAATAGAGAAAGTCATAGAAAATGATAAAATTAAACTGCTCTGGGACTTCAGAATTCAAACAGACAAGCACCTGCAACATAACACCCCAGACTTAACAATTGTCGATAAGAAAGACAAAAAAGTCTGGATAGTGGACGTGGCAGTGCCTGGAGACAGCAGAATAGAAGAGAAAGAACTGGAGAAGATAACAAAATACAAAGACCTACAAATAGAAATAGAAAGACTGTGGCAAAAGCAAGCAAGGGTAGTACCAATAGTCATAGGCTCCTTGGGTGCAATCCCAAAACAATTGGAGCACCATTTGAACACCATTGGCATTGACAAATTCGCTATTAGTCAATTGCAAAAGGCGGCCTTACTAGGAACTGCTTCCATCCTGCGACAACATCTGTAATACCATCAAACATCCACATCTGCCTATCCCAGGTCCTAGGTAAGGACTCGATAGGTAGACAAAATGCCAAATCCAGTCTGAACATCTGGCTGACTGTGCGATGATCAATCATCATCATCATCATCATCATCATCATCATCATCATCATCATAGAACAGAACAGAACAGAACAGAACAGAACAGAATAGAATAGAATAGAATAGAATACCTTGGGATTTTCTGTATCTAAACTCTAAGTAGGCTGCTTAGTTTTCTAGGTCAGATAAAGTTGGTTAATATAATCACTTCCTTACATAGGAAGGATCACACAGTCCTGGCAGAAACTATATCCAACAGGAAGATGTAATCTGGGTTAGATGTCCCAAGAGTAATGGTCTGAAGTAAACTACCTTCTCTCTCTCACTCCCAGTTTGGACCTTCAAAACACTTTTATGGCTTAATGATCCTACTTGACACTTGGCCAAGTTGTTCAAGATGATTAATAAGCCATCACAGTTGCTGCAGTGCACAAGTGCTTCTTTCATCATTCTGCTTCATGTTGATCTGGCAACTGATTGCTAAGTGTTCAATGTTGATTATGAAATATGAATCACCACCAAAGCGATGATAATAAGAAGTGAAATCTCATAGATTTAAAGAGGTGGAAAACCATAAATCACATTTCTTGGAATTGAAATTAACTGCTCTAAGGTTGGGCTTTTGAATTAAACTTTCAAAATATGAGGGGAGACAATGGGAAGAGTTTAATATTATGTATTATGTAATATTTAACATCCACAAGTAATGCATTAAATGAATACAGAGAGAAGTGTTTATTTTGTTACATAGGAAGGTGATATGTATACGATAGAATTGTGGCATGTATAACATACTAAGGGAGATGAGGAAAGGAAAGTAAGGAGAAAATAGTTGGCTTTTCCAATGTTTTAGAAAACTTTCCCAACTTTGAAACTTTCATAGCAATTCTCCATGGAAAAATGTAGAAAGTACTTTTTTTTCTTGTAGAGTCCTTGGTGTGCTTTGAGTTTGATTATTTGCTTGTTTCATTACCTGACTAGTGAACATCATCAATGCCAGTGAATGTGGTTTCAGCTAAGCAGACAACAAACTATCAAGCAGAAAACAATACCTTAGTCAAGAAACTACAAAGGAGAAAACCACACTCACACCAAGATGGGCAGGATAAGCTACTGTATATAAACAAAGAGCAAACCCCACACTCACTAGAACTGATGCTATTGTCTAGTTAAATAATGAAACAACCACAAGCAAATATCAAAGCTCAGAAAGTACCAAGGACTGCATAGTTTAACCCCGGGTTACATATATTCTCTTCTATTTATATATATATTATCTTGCTTGGGATCCCTTTTCCGGCCAATCCAGATTGAGAGTTCTATGATTGCTTTCCCTGGTATAATTAGTTTGGAAGTAAGCCACTAGCAATAGAAGGTGAAGTTCACTTAGTTCCAGAAGAATGATGAAGTCTTTTTTTTTGTGTGTGCAAGCTTTGTGTTTTGAGGAAATCCATTTGATACATTATCAGCTATCTCTTTCTTGTTCAAGCAGGAAACCCTATACCATTTCGGACAAATGGCTGTCCAGTCTCTTTTTAAAAACTTCCAGTGTTGAAGCATTCACAGCTTCTGGAGGCAGGCTGTTCCACTGGTTAATTGTTCTGTCAGGAGGTTTCTCCTTAGTTCTAGGTTGCTTCTCTCCTTGATTATTTTCCATCCGTTGCTTCTTGTCCTGCCTTCAGGCACTTTGGAAAATAGCTTGACTCCCTCTTCTTTGTGGCAGCCCCTTCAAAGGACACTAGTCAAAGAACAGCACCTAAATGTTCTTGAAGCCAGCTGCTAGCTGAGTGAGACCCTCCATTAGCCTTCAAATGCTGCATCATGATCATCTTTTTTTGCTCCAATTTGCTGCTAATCCTGGCCCTGCTAATTATTTTGCCTCTCCCAATATACTTCTACTTTTCAGCTTTGTATGGGCCTGCAGATTCCTGCAAAGGACGATGTAATGAAAAATATAACCGGGAAGATGAGTGCCACTGTGACACCAACTGTGAACAAAATCAGAATTGCTGTGAAGATTACCACATCCACTGCAAAACAGGTAAAACATTCTCAGATCAAGCTTAACTAAGTGGATGTCACTACTATACATTAGTTGTCCTGAGATCAGAATGGAAATAGTTTACACATTGCCTGTTTTTTTTTTTTTTTACATGTTAAATCATTTAATCTAGCCAAAGACTTGGTATACTGGTTGTCACCCATCTTAGTTACCCTGGTCTGACCTAACTTATCTTTTTTTAAATTAGCCAGGATTAGCAGCCGACTGCCCTCTATTGAACACAAACACACACACAACTAATACACCCCTCCTCATAGAAAAAGTGACTGTCTTCATGCATATCCATACTCTCCAAATTTGTGTAGATTAACAAGAGATAAGATAAAATGTTTTATAATAATTCCTTGTTTAAAATAATTAAGGTCATATCGTCAAATTGGAGACACATAATATGGAATAGAAATTTGAGATGTTGCTTCTTGTTGCTGCAACTGTTTGTGTCCAATCAAAGAAAGCATGTGAGTCCAAACCAATGGAAGAAGGGATTTACTAGGCTATTTAAACTAGGTCCCTTCTTTTGCCAACTTAGACCCCATTTTGAAGGATGGACTCTAGGGTGCATGTCTGAAGCCTTTCAATCCAGGAAGACCCCAAATAACTCCCAGATGTCAAAGCCAAACAGCCTCTGTACACTTCTACTTCATTTAAGTGCCAAGAGAAGACCTCAAGAGATCACTCCACTCATGGGACTTTTTCAGCAGCAGCATTGTTGGTCTTGCTGAAAAATTTCTTTCTTCCTGTTGTGTCCATCCCTAAATCAATGAGCTGTTGTCTTTGAGGATGCAAAGCAAAACAGGACACTGAAATGTCAAATGAGGAACAACTAGCAATTCATGGTCTTTTCATTACCAGGAAAATCAATTTTGATTGTGCCAAGTTTTTGAATCAACTAACACCCTGAGTTTGCTAGATACTGTTGTTACATTGCCATGTTATGATATTATATTGTAAGTGCTTGGGATTTCATTGGCTGATTTTAATCTATTGTAAGCCTCCTTAGGAAAACCTGAGGGTGACACTTTTTTGAATGAATATATAGTTCAAAAGGGCAACACCTAAACAGTTAACCTGCCTGCCCTCCTTGCTCTCCCTCTCTTTCTTTTTCTCTCTCTTTCTCTCAGACTTAAAAGAATGTGTGGACATTATAGCTTTGATTGTCTAGATGGGTGGTCACCCGGTATGTCTATGGGGTAGACATAGATCACAAAAATCAAGATGGTGCCTGTGACCATACAATTAAAACTCCTTCCCTTTCATGTGCATTGCATGACGCAAAAAGGTCTTCAACTGCAACGGTGGCAGCCCCTACCTTGATTTTTCTGACCCTAACCCTATGGATATCCCTGGTACCACATAGGACTTATAGGGAGAAGACAACAAGAATGTTGGTGCTGTGAGGAAAAAAATGTCATGGAAGGAATATTAGATTTTTTTGAAGGTGATGTTGCTATTGATATTGCCTCTGCCAATACTCTGGGCAATAAACCAGAGTGGCCAAGGGACGGGGATCCTAGGGCCTCCACAAATTTCTGGAGCCACAGATATATTTGGAAAGAAACCAGACCCAGTTGGACTCAATGGATTTGTTTTTCATACCCGGCCATGCAATTTGATCAATCTGGTTGGTGTTTTCATCCACATATGGGATCTAAGCAATGGCAGCCCTTGCATGATCTTGCTGCATTTGGATGTTACACAGGATTGAGTATCTGAATGGGAAACCACCAGAGAATCCCAGGAATATAGGCTTGATTGGGAAGTAGGAAAAAATGCAAAAATAAAAAAGCAGTGTCCAGTCATTTCTATATTGCTTCCAAGAAGGCTGCATGAATAGAGCCATGAAATCATCTAGTGTTGAACTTGACACAAAGGAGATTTTACATTTTTTTACCAAGGCAACTGACCTGTAATATGGTTGGGTTCTTAAATATTGGTTGGGCCTCATCACTGGTAGAAGACAAAACAAAATCAGCCATCCTGAGAAACATTGACGAGTGACGTATCAACTTTAGAAAGAAACAAAATAAAACCATCAGGCTTTTGTGCAAAAATATGAAAGGTGATTCCCAGGAGAAGCCAAACAAGTTTGGAGCCACAGGCCAAGGAAAAGGATATCTTGGAGGTAGGGGGCAAGCAGGTCACCAAATCATGGCATTTAAGGAAACTCTCTCCCTCACAATATGTCATAGCTGAGTATGGGGGTGAGGAAGAAAATGTCTAGACTTAGTTCTAGCTTAGTTTAAGGGGTTTATCTTCCTAATGCAAAGTATCTCCACAGCCTCACTCCTTGCTGGTTGCATCTGTTGAAAGAAAAAGTCTTCATCAGGGTCCAGGCCAAGCTGGGAATAAACAAAATGGAGAGTGATTTAGGAAAGAAGGTTGTAGTTTATTGAAGAGCAGAACCAGACAGAAATGTGGCTCTGGGAAAGCTGACCACATGGAACAGGGAGTGGAGGGTTTTTATAACTTCTTGGGCTTTTGTGTTTGGAGTTGTTTCCTGTTCCTTTGGGGAAATATAATATTCTGTCCTTTTTAATATCCCTCCAAAATATTTCCTTCTCTAGGAGGGTGGGTGGGTGCTGACTTCCAACATGGCCTTAAGAACTGATGCATTTGGTGAGCACAAACAATGGGAATCAATAAATTGGAAAGTATGGAAATATTCCTCCAGATGATATGCAAAAATCCAAAAGGGATAGGTGGAAGTTGCAGCCATCTTTCCCTTACTGGCAAGAAAGCTATATCTGTAGCAATAAATGACAAGTTTGGTGCTTCTCCGTGACCAGAAGATTTCTTCCTTCTTTAACAGGTACCACAGATGACAAAGAAAAGGGCAAGTATTGGAACCTTCTCTTCATCTTTACATGAAACGTGCAATGAAAATGGCTAACTGCTAAAGCCATAGAGCTATTGGTGAATCCTTTGAGGAGGTAATGAAGGCAGGATTGAGCTGATTGGGTAGGAGCTCTTAATATAAAGGAATTCGTAGCCAATCAGCATCCCTACCTCTTCTACCAAATAGTTCTTAGTTGCTTAATTTTGCTCCTGGAGTTTCTACAGGGAGTAGAAACTGCTTCTATCAATAGTAATTGCTAGCTCACCAACAGTTGTATACTGTACTTCAGTGATGATAGAGACATTCCCCAGATCTATTTCTTGCAATTAAAACAAACATTTACTTCCTCTTCACTGACACCTAGTGGCAGCAACCACTTCCTTTTCACTGAAAATAATTTCATTTGTAATAGTTGGTCAAAATAGGGATATTTTGGATGACAGTTCTATCACCCTTTGCAATTGGCTCTGCAGGCTGGCGTTTATAGGAATTGTGTTCAAAATACCGTGAAGATAACAAGTTGCCTATAATTTCAATCAAACATTAGCAGTTATATAACTGAATTCATCCATGTGCCTATATGGTCTTGGTTCCCTTAATTTTAAGGATTCTGCAGGAAAATTTACATTTAAAAAAGGATTTTAAAACATGCTTCCCCTCTAACAATATATTGGTAGAAGCATTTGGATCTTTTGACACCGCTAGGAACCACAGTGAACAGAAAACTAAAGTCCAATGTATACTTGAATCCAAGAGGTACTTACTATATACAGTACCACTTTATCATGAGTCTTTTCCAATTCATCATCCATAAATCCCAAGTTTTGGGGTCTTTCTAGATGACTGGTTCTTAAATAATTTGATTCTATTATCCAACTATTTTAAACTTTTCCCTGTTGTAAATAATGTCATTAATACCCCCTCTCCCCAAAAAACCAACCCCAAAGTAAAATAGGCTGTTATTTTATACAGGTGTCTCAAAAGCAGCAATCCCAGACTTGATTACCATTAGGATAGGTACAAATAACCACAGTATAAGAGCCACTGCTCTAGGTAGACTTTGCTGTGAAATAAGATGAGGAAATTCAAAGAAAAGCACAGTCAACTCTACTTGGGTTTGAATAAGTTCTCAGATGTTGCCAGGTGACTACCCGGAGCTCTCCATGGTGATCAGAACATGGAACAGTCAGGTTGGATCCTTCCTGCTTTATGATCTAGGGGTTCTAGTATGAGAACAGAAAAAGGAGGAGCCAGATGTCAATCCCCTGCAGCCATAAAACTCATGAGGATTGCTGCCGGTTGTCTCTTTTGTTATTTGTTATTTAGCCTAAACTATCTCACCAAATAGCTGTAAAGATAAAGCCAAAGTAGACTCCTTAGGAAAAAGACAGAATCCTTAGTAGAATTAAGTCTTGCACACAAGACACATTGTGTACATTATAAAGTAATCATCCACATTCTAGCTTGTTCTGCTTTAATAATCTTTGTGTTGATTGCACATGAATAGCTGAACCACTAATGTTACTCAATAAATTTGCCCCAAAATCTACTGTGCTGCTGTGTGAATGCATCGTATTATTTAATCTTTGCCACTTTGCACTCTCAGTATCTTCATTTCTTACAACCAGGTGCTCATCAGAATATAAATCTTATGATACTGTTTTTTTATTTAAAAACAAAACACAGATAATATATGATGTGTTTTAATAGATAACTACATTTAGTAATGTATCTTCTGAAATTAAAACATTTTTACACTTTAAAATAAAACATGCTCAGAGGTAGATATGAAATGAAATGACAAACCGATACAAATCAGAAATAATTTCAGCTATGCATTCTCAATATGTATACTTGTATACTTTTCAAAGTTGTATTTAAAATTCTTCAGAAGCTTTTTATCTGCAATCTTTGAATTGTCGTGGGTGGATAGCATTCTTTGCCCATTTTAAGCAGCTTTGCCAAGTGACTGATTCAAATGACCTTAAGCTAAAATCATTATTTTTCCATCAGAAGGATTCTCATACAGAGGCAATACTATAACAGATGAAGAACTACAAGAAGCATCAGAGAAGATTTACCAGACTGACCACAATAGAGCAGAGGAGTCTGACATTATCCTGAACAAGCAATACTTCACTTCCAAAACAAATGGGCATGAAAATAATTCCCCAGATCTGTGAGTTTAACCTATTGGAATGTAAACTACAAAGCGAACATAGGCAATTGGAATGGTAGACCCTTAATTACAGATAACCAAAATTCCAGAGATGGAAAAATAACTATTTAGCATTCTTGTTTCTAAATTTGGAGCTGGAAATATTTATTGATGACTATATCAATAAATGGCTTGCTATACTATACTTATTAGATATTTAACTTCATTCAACCATAGTAATATATTCCAGGAGCATAGGAGTCAAAGGAGGAGCCCAGTTTTGATGACAAAATGTTGTTTTTTTCAGGTAGGAAAAAAATGGTTCAAACCTAGGGGCTGCTATATTAGAAAATCCACATCAGACAAAGCTGAGGTGATTAGGAAGAACCAATTGTCTCTGTCTTTTATCTAAGGCAAAATATTGACTAATTATGATCCACTTGGAATGGATCCTGAAAGGAGATATGTCCATGGATGCTTGGCAGAACTAGGGAAGGAGGTTGAGTGGCTCTCAGTACCATAATTCTGTGGTAGGAAAGCCATCACGGCTATGTGTACCGCAACGGGATAGCTGCCTGTCCCACACACATAGCCAAGAGGCTCTACGCCACAGGTTATGAATGAAATCACTCTTCCAATCTGTTATGGAGTGTGGGAAGAATCCTGAGCCTGTGGTAAACTGTAGACCAGCTTCACACCAAATGGTTTTTCATTGGGCAGGCTCTTCACTTATGTCAACCATGAGAAACTCTTCTCAAGGCCAACCTATGCCAGTTTCATCAAGCTATTGGATAATTATCAAGCACATGTTAGGACAGAGGAGAAATTCACAAAAGAACAGATAAAGGAACAAGACATTTTCCTTCAGGATATCATGAAGACCGAGGTCATGAAAGAGCTATATAAGTTTCTTCACAGCAAAAGTAAGTCTTTGGTAACTGAGAGATAATCAACGTGATTTTATACAGAATCATAGAACCATAGAAGTGGTCAACCTCAATCTTCTGCTCAGTGGAGAAATCCAAATAAAGTTATCCCATGTAGATTTTGTAGAGTGTACATTTGTATGAAGAAATATTAGGCAGCCCCAATCAAATTTAATTCCAAGGACTACATGGTACAAAACTAAACATATCTTTCTAGAAATGTGCTTACTATTCTCTTGGGGATTCACTAAAACCTACAATGTGACCAGGGTTGCTGCAATTTTAGTATATAATTATGCTTAGCGTGGGGAGACCTCAATTCCTCCTTAAAACTGGTTTCACTGTCAAACTTCTTCCTTTGCAATATAATATTGTATCACATGGAAGCTGTACCTGTTTTTGCTGAATGTGTGTATGAATAGACAAAGTTTTCATCCTCTCAGAAGTTCCTGGAAATAGTTTTGTGACTGAGAAAAGTAACATATGAAATGATTCACAACACTCTTATAAAACTATGATTCCTAAAGCAAACAAGTTAGACATTTACAGAATTAATGTGAAAGTTATTGACAATTTCAAAGAGCACATTTTTCTCCCAGTCTTCTTCCCATCTCTATTAGACATATCTACTTTGGATTTCTTTCATAATATCTCTGGTCCATAGAGCATTGTTGGGATGATGTGAGAATTGTTTGTGATGTCTTCATGTAACAAGAAATTAATGATTGTTTGCCATCCATCTGTATCTCCATCCTAGATCGTTATGATACAGAAGCAGAGTTTGTTGAGGATCTTAAAAAGATATGGTTTGGTCTTTATTCCAGACGCAATGATGTTAATGATAATGACTCCAGTGGTTTTGAACATGTCTTTGTAGGTAGGTTTAATTAAAACAAGCTGATATTCCTTCATACATTTAATTACAAGTAGTCCTCGGGTTATGAGTACTCATTCAGCAACTACTCAAAGATATGACAGAGCTGAATGAGGGAGACTCACAATGCGTTCTTGAAATTCTGGCTGTTGCAGCATCCCATGGTCACGTGATTGCAATCAGGGTGATCCCTGCCAGCTTCCCACAAGCAAAGTCAATGGGGAAGCCAACAGGAAGTTGCAAGTCATGATCATAAGAGGTCTTTATTTATTTGTTAGATTTATGTGGCAGCCTATTGTAAACTTTGGCTAGCTCACAACTGTTATAAATTGGGATTCCTTGGATTGCTGTTATTAAGCAGCATGATCACATGATATTGCACTTTACAACTTCATCAGTTAGTGAGGGAGTTCTCAGTCCAGGTTGTTGTTGAAACTCGAGGACTACCAATTGAACCACAATTTGTTTATGCGATATTGCTTTAGCACATTTCCCCCCTTAAAAGCTGGAGGTTTATGGCAAAGTGAAGACAGGTCTGCTAAAAGCGAAGCTGATGACCTTGGCGGGATGAATACCTTGCCAACAGAAACTGATTTGTATTAATTTTTAAAGATATTCCCTATTTGCCTCCCTCAATGTTCCTTAAAATACAGTTGTAGTGCAATCCATCTGCGTCTGAACTCAATGTAGTTGAGGCTCACCCATGGGGGAGAATGGTCTATGTAGTTCAAGAAGTTCCTTAGGTTTCTTGAGCTACATTTCTCTGAATTTCCAACCATCATATCTTTTGGTGATTCTGTTTCATTTAAACTTTCCATTAAGCTTTGCCTTTGTCTTCCTTTTTGCTACTATCATCCTTCTTATTTATCCCTCCATCGTAATATAATGAACTCTGTAAACTTCTCCTCCATTTCCAAAAGAACTTGGAAGAATTCCAAACCTGAACAGTTTTCTTAGGCTTTTCTTATTGATAGGATGGAGGAAAGCTTTTTGTTAATTGTATAAATCTTCTTTGTATAGGAATTATGACTTATAATTTGTTGTTAACATAAATTAATATGTTCTTATGGCTATGGTTCTTTTTAGGAGAAATCAAAAACGGAAAAGTATCTGGATTCCACAACTGGATTCGTTTCTACCTTCTGGAGAAACAGGGTGTTGTTGATTATTTCAGCCACAGCTATGATGGTCCGGTATGTTTCACTGGAGAAAATGAATACTCTTCCATTATTGGAGAAAAATTAACCCACTTGGGGAAGAGAAGAAAGGTCACAGCACATTCCCTGATGAAATACCGTAGGCATACTATGCATCTGTTTGATCTCTCTGTGAAATGCTGAGCTATGATTACCAACATCCCTTGCTATTGACTGGACATACCCTTTTCAATAAAGCCAAATTCTCCTTGTTTAAGGTATAAACGACTATGCAAATATTATGTAGGCCTGCCATTCTTTGGGATAATGGAAGCAGAGGAAAAATAATAACAGTAGTAATAGCACCAGTTATATTGTTGTAATGCCAGGCTGTTGCTAAATATGGAGCATATGGGTAGAAAAAAATACACGGATCTCTATCTCTATCTGTCTGTCTGTCTGTCTATCTGTCCGTCCGTCCATCCGTCCATCCATCCATCCATCCATCCATCCATCCATCCATCCATCCATCTATCCATATCTGTCTGTCTGTCTGTCTGTCTGTCTGTCTGTCTGTCTATCTATCTATCTATCTATCTATCTATCTATTGGCATTTCATTAACAAGGTATCTTTCAGGTTTCTTCCTGTTTTTAGTATTTTATAAAGGCAGGATCATCTGGATTTGTTTCTAATGAAAAAACAGTATCATAACTATGACAACACTACTATAAGAAAAGTCCTTTAAAAAACCCTCTTGCAAAAAAAAGCATGAAAGTATATTAGTATACATGAAAGTATATTAATGGTTAACTTTAATTTTATGGATGCAAGATTCTAGCCCAATGTTGCAGATATATGGATGTGTATCTCAGCATGGTTAGCAGGGAGGTGTGTGCTTTTGGGCAAAAGGAATGCCTGTTCCCCCCGCCTAAAACAGATTGCAGAAAATATGTTATTAAAAATGGTGGTTCAAAAGAGAGAGAAGAAGAAGGAGAAAGAAAAGGAAACAACTTATACATAATTATCCAGCTGTGGCTGGTGACACATTGTCACAAAAATAGTCTTTGACTGGATTCAAGCCTCCAGAGAATGCAATGATTTAAGTCCATCTTAGATGTTTCTTTGTGGACTCCCTCTTCTCTTAGTAATGAAGAAAGGGCTCTTTAAGACTAATGAGAACAACACTGGAGCCTTCATTCATTTCCTCTTTCACTCCTAGGGATTTTTCTAGGGATTTTTGGGACACAGCAGCAATTTCTCCTTTCCAAAGAAATGATAGTTTGATTTTTCTCTAAGAATATATAGCAGCCTGCCTGCCTGCCTTCCTTCCTTCCTTCCTTCCTTCCTTCCTTCCTTCCTTCCTTCCTTCCTTCCTTCCTTCCTTCCTTCCTTCCTTCCTTCCTTCCTTCCTTCCGCCACTGCACCAGCCTTTTCAAGTCCCCCTTTTCACAGGCTGTCTCATCTTTCTTTACTAAGCTGGACTTTCTTTCTTTTTTTTTTTTATTGAAAATTTTTATAAGTTTTTACAAAAAACCAGAAAAAAATATAACAATACAAAAACAGAAAACAACATGTACAAAAAACTAAACATAACATCCCCTTCCCCACCCCCCCCCAAAACACCCCCCCTTCTCCCCCCTGAGCTTCCCAGAGCAGAATATAGGCTTAATTAAAAAGGAATTTAAAAAAAATATATATAAAAAAGAAAAAAAATAAGACTGAAATATATGTATATGTATATAAAAATAAGAATTATGAAAAAGCAATATGATATTTTTTTATATCCAATTTAAATTGTATAAATTCTATCCATTTATCCCAAACAGCAAGAAATTTCTCTTGCGTTTGTTCCTTTAAAAAAGCCGAAATCTTTGCCATTTCCGCCAAATAGGACACTTTAAAAAACCATTCCTGCAGTGTAGGCAAGGATTCCTTCTTCCAATATTGTCCTACTAACAGCCTTGCGGCTGTAATCAAATTTAACATCAATATAACCTCCTTTGTATCACAATCAGTAACTATACCCAACAAAAATAACTGCGGAGTAAATTTTACCCTCCTTCTAAAAATTCTCTGGATATTCCACCATATCTTAATCCAAAATGCTTTTATCTCTCTGCACGACCACCAAATGTGGTAATAGGTGGCATCTAAACAACCACATCTCCATCATTTAGGCTGTAAGTCCGGGTACATGAAAGACATTTTTTGTGGGTCAAGGTGCCATCTATAAAACATTTTATAAAAATTCTCCCTTAAATTCTACTAAGCTGGACTTTCATGCTACCGCTTTCCCCAGTCCATCTGAGCTTTTCTCCCCTGCTATTGGCTCAGATATCGAACAGCAAGACCTATAAGGGGCTTCCATTGGAGCCTTCTTTTGGGCAAACACTTTTTTTTGCATTGCCAATTGGTGAGGCAAGTCAAAACCAGATGACATCTCGGTATGGGATGATTTCTAGATTATCGCAAGGAGCTTGAACATATTGGGTATTAGTTACTTGGGGGACTAGCCCAAAACGAGGCTGAGATAAAATCATAAATGCCATCCCATCTCACCAAGTCCAGGTGTAATGCTTGGCTATGTTATATTGATAGGCAGATAACCCTACAAATAGATCTGCTCCTGTATATATGACTGTGTGTACTTTTATCCACTCACATACACTTGAAATATGTTTAAATAACTATTTTGTTCCATGTTCATGTTGTTATCTCTGTTTAGTGGTAGGGCTGGCCATGGTCACATGTTAATATCCATTGACTATGTTGGAACTCTTAGATTATGAGCCAAGTGGATTAAGAGTTAGAGGGTTGAGGAGAGTTTGAGAAGAGCCGAGGTGGCGCAGCAGTTAGAGTGCAGTACTGCAGGCCACTTTAGCTGACTGTGTTCAGCAGGTCAGTGGTTCAAATCTCACCTGCTCAAGGTTGACTCAGCCTTCCATCCTTCCGAGGTAGGTAAAATGAGGACCCAGATTGTTGGGGGCAATGTAAGTATATATATATACAATGCTTACTGGTGTACACCGCTTAGCGAGTGCTTGCACTTAAAGCGGTATATAAGTCTCATAAAATAAATAAATAAAATAAAAATAAATAGTTTAGGAACTTTTCTCTCCTGAGCTTTCCTTGGACTGGTTTAGGCATAGGCCATCATGTGACTTATTTGAATTGCTGCTGTGACATTTGTCACCCCATTGATTATCAGGGTTGATTTGGTTGACCTAACTGGCTAAGCGGGTGTCCCATCCCTCCCGCACTGTTCCATGTGCAGCCAGAAATTGCATGCCCATTGAATGAGGACAGTTATCTCAGATAGAAGGAGTGTACTGATCTTTAGTCAAGAGCATACAAAACAACATTGGTGGCACCACTAATCAGCATTATGTACCAGTGGGAGGTTATTGGGAGCAAACATTGAACGCTACTTGCCATATGACAAATATTTTCCTCCCTTCTCACAAAAGAAGAACCAATGTGTTTTCTTTGCCCCACACTGCTGATAGAACATGGTATCCCTCTTATATGTCACTAGTCTTTACAAATAGTCAGATCTCATCAAGCTGGGTATAGGAATTTGTGGTTTGTATGGCTTCACAATGAAAAACTCTTCCTGGAAATATTTTATTGTTGCAAACACTGTAGATCAAAGCTCTTGGAAAATTTCCAGCATATTTTTTCTCTCTCCTCCCTTTAGTGGACCTCATATCCAGATGTGCTGGGAATGCAGTTCAGCTTTGATGGATTTTACAAAGAGGTTGGAAGTGCTTTTATTGGAAGCAGTCCTGAATTTGAATTCGGACTCTATTCCCTGTGTTTCATTGCTCGGCCTGGAAAAGTGTAAGTATATTGTTAGGGCCAAGAGTTATTTTCACAGCAGTTCAAATGGGAAGAAGAAGTGCCAGTAAAGGATGGTTTGGAAGCCAATGCATGTTTTTGATGTGCTAATTCCCATGTATCAAAAGTGAAAGTATTCACATTCTGGTTGAAATTCCTTCCAAGTGAAAGGAATGCTTCAATCCATTCAATTGTTCTCAGGAGCAGAGCTAGCAAGCAGGGTTATGAAATAACAACGTTCTTACATCTACTGTATACTCCCTAACATCTGATATGAAAAGGTCTGTCACTTTTGAAGACAAAGGTTTCATTTAGCTATCTTAGTCAATAGATGGTAGTAGACCTAGCCTTCAAATTAAAGTCTGAGCAAAGTAATGGCCATTAAAATATCTGAAATGGTATAGGGTTTCCTGCCTGAGCAGGGGGTTGGACTAGATGACCTCCAAGGTCCTTTCCAACTTGATGATGATGATGATGATCTTGGTTCAAGGTAGAGTAAAAATTCTGAATTTTCCCAGTAATGTTCAGGCAAATAACCTTCACAATTTAGGAGTACCACATAGTACGCTTTGCAGAATTTAGCAGCCTCAAGGCATGAATCGCATCACTGGGTTCATTCAAGCAATTTATGAAGGTTTGTTCCATAAACAATCTTATTCATGGGAGATCTTCTGAATTCATACTTTTCATGAAGAGGTTTCCAAATGCTGAACCAGACAACATTCATAAAGGTGGTGCTATAGAGAACAGGTGGAATTGTTGATGGTAAGGCTTGATTCAGCTAGTAATTTGACTCAGCTGTAGTTTATTCCCAATAATTATCTAGAAAGATGATTATATACCAGTTTTCTGTCTTTCAGGTGTCATCTGAAAATTGGAGGCCACAATCTGAATATCCAAACTTGGGAGAAATCCACTGATGACGATGGCAAAAAGTATATTGCCTCAGCTTACGCGGTTACCCCATGAGGTTGTGAGGTTAAAAAACAAAAAAACAAAAACCACCCTCCTGAAAGACCCAGAAACAATCCACAGCACATCCAATGTTAATCTCTGTTCATGCCATTTCACAATCGCTGTATATTGTATGTCTTCTTCGATCTTTTAATGTGGTATTAGTGATAGCTGGAATGGGTCATAGTGAAAAGACTTTACAAATCTGCACGTCTTTGGCAGACTATAGTTCAGCCAGAAGGCACAGGTAGCAAGTAACTTTTTTTTCTGGAGATGACATGCATTTCGCATAAAATAAAGACAGAATGGAAAGTGAAATAATGTTTGGCTAAAAAAAAATGAACAACGGAGAGCAGGCAGGAACATTTCCAAAATGACCTTCCATTGTCTTTTTCTTGAAAGAAACCTGCTCTCTATTTAGGCCAGTGGTTCTCAACCTTTTTAATGCCGTGACCCCCAACCGGTTGTAAGTCGAGGACTACTCAACTGGTGCAGCACCGTTTGCAGAATGGGACTTTTGGCGGGCTCAGCAAGGCAGAGACAGCCTGGACAATTCCTATTGGCTTTTGAAAGCCAATAGAATTAGACTCTATTCAAGAGAGTCTATTCTATTGGCTGTCAAAAGCCAATAGAATAAAAGGGAGTAGCACAGCTAAGGAAAAGGGGGGGAAAATGGCGGACTGTGTTGTTTGGCGACCCCCGTGAAATGGTCGTTCGACCCCAAATGGGATCCCGACCCACAGGTTTGAGAACCACTGATTTAGGCAAAAAAGAAAGAAACTTTGCAATAAGTTGAATGTATGTGTGTGTGTGTGCGCGCACACACATACACACAACAAACACACACATTTCATTCATTTATTTATTCATTCACACACTGTTTAGCAAGAGTAGCTATTCAGGTAACTACCCAGAAATGGGGACAAGAAGGGGAAGAGAATTTAAATCAGTATTCAATATAACTGTATGAAATATGAAAACAGAATCTTTAAGAATGGTACTTAACTTCCTGTTTCTGATCCATTGAGCTGCTCTCTGATTTCTTTTATGGTATATTGTTTTAAAAAACAAAACCAGTTCATATGCACCTGCCAAACCCTCATGGGTTCTTTGACTTCCGTCCCTTATACTGGCCAGCCTCTAAGCAGCATTAAAATTGAGAAAACTAAGAAATTTCACTAAAAGCTTAACATTTGTGTTCAAAATGTGGCTGAGCCATGGACCAAATGACTAGTCTTTGATTAAACCACTATTTCTCAGTCCTTTGATTGGTCATATGGAGAAAATGGTCTCCTACCTACCTTACAGGGCTGTTGTGAAGTTGTAAAAGGCTGATGGCAAAAAATGTATAATAAAATGCAAAATATCATATGTTAATAATACAATGCTTCTGTATGATTTGATTAATAAATCTTTGTTTGAGTAACTTATTTTTAAAACAGCAATTATGATGTTTACATTAGCCTTTTATCCCCAGTACTGATAGCATATCTTTCTAGAGATATGCATACTTTTCAGCTCTACAATTTCTTCAGATTTTCTTTCTGAATCTGGCAGAGTTTAATTGTACCATTCAATTGAAACTTGATAAAATGTCCAATAAATTCAGTGGTGAAAACTGTGTCCTATTTGACTGATTCCATGGCATTCCAGGTCTAATCTCAGGAAAGATAAATATGTAACTGATCTGTGGAGATCAGTTTCAGTTCAAAAACCAAAGATTCACGAGTCTCTATTTCTGAAGCTGCCTGTCATTCCAATTGTGCTGATACAGTAAGTAACAACTTCTAAGAAGAAATTTTCAGACAAAAGTTTGCCAGCAGATTGGAATTTTGAGAATTTAAGTCATTATCAAGCAGCTCAAAATAATTATTGAGGAGAAATTCACTCACTACAAACCTGAGTTTTAACTTGCTTAATTTCAGATTTTCAGATAAATGCACAATCAAAACAGGGTTACCTTTGGAATTTCATACCTATCCGAATTTTGCAATGAAATTGCTTAATAATACATCCTGTTATGACACCTTTAACACCATCAAAGAACAACATCTGCTTAACCCAGGTCCTTGGGAAGGACTTGGTGGCATAGTGGTTCGAATGCAGTACTGCAGGCTACTTCTGCTGACTCCTGGTTAACAGCAGTTCAAGTCTCACCAGCTCAAGGTTGACTCAGCCTTCCATCCTTCCAAGGTCGGTAAAAATGAGGACCCAGATTGTTGGGGGCAATATGCTGACTCTGTAAACTGCTTAGACAGGGCTGTAAAGCACTGTGAAGCAGTATATAAGTCTAAGTGCTTTTGCTCTTGCTAGGTGAACAAAAATACCAAATCCATCTGGCTGACTGTGCAACCAACCCTTAATAATACAATAATAATAGATATTAGAAAAAAACCTCTGCGCTAGAATTTCTTGAAGACTATTTGCCAAGCTGAACTGAATTTGGGAAAACTGGAAATCTGTGGACATGAAGCCTTATTGTAAATGAAAAACCCTATAGTAGAAACAGACACTAACTCAAATCTATAATACAAGCTTTCTTTTTTTAAAAAAAAAATCAGGCTACTAGAAAAGTGAAACAAAATTAATATAAGAATGGAAAATGAGGAAATGAATGAAACCAAAAAATATGGATTCTTTTCTTGAAAACCTCCAGTGATGGAGCACCTACAACGTCTGCAGGCAAGCTGTTCCATTGATTGTCTATGGAGATTCTCAGTCATCCAGGTCATAGTTGTCCCAAAGGCAGTGGTGGGATTCAATCGGTTTGCACCACTTTGACAGAACCAGCTAATTTTTTGTTGCCCAGGCCCAGAATGGACTTCCAGAAGCAGCATCCAGAGAACTGGTTGTTCATATATTTGAACAGCCCAAAGGTGCTTTTTCAAGAGGCAACTGGACTTTCTTGTTTTTCTTTGAAGACATTTTACTTCTCATCCAAGAAGCTTCTTTAGCTCTGACTGGATGGTGGGAAATGGAAGGATTTATATTGCTTGCAGGCAGCTGGTCATTTGCCTTCTTTTAGCGAGTCATTGAGGCCACTTGGAGGTTTACCTGTGTCCTCAGAGTCACCTGAGTAGTGCAAATGTTCTTGGCTGCAGGATGTTTTCTGCCCTGTGTCCCTTCGCTATTGAACATAGGCACAGGCTATTGGGGATGAGTCTGTGTTGTCTGCATCTCAAAACGCACAAATGGTTCCTGTAGTCTACAATGTTTTATGGAAATCTCTTCATACTCCTTTCATACTCCCACACCACTTGAAAAGTATTCATCCCAAAGTGCATAACTAAATGTCTATGGAGATTCTCAGTCATGGTTGTCCTAAAGGACAACCTGAAAAAGCACCTTTGGGATGAACACCCTTTGAATGGTGCGGGAGTATGAATGGATTTCCAAAAAACATTGTAGACTACAGGAACCATTTGTGCTTCAATTTGAGATGCAGACAACAAAGACTCATCCCCAACAGCCTGTGCCTTTAGACCAAACTAGCCTACTCATTAGCTGCACACCCAGATACATGATGCTGCTAACCACCTCCACAGGTGAATCATTAATACACAGAGGTGTGTGGCTGTGCCTGCCTTTTCTGAAATGGACAATGATCTCTTTAGTTTTTCCTACATTTAAAATGAGGCTGTTTTTAATTACATCAGTTCAACAAAGCCTCGGTAAGCACCCTCATTGTCATCCTAAATAAGGCCCACTATTTTTGTATCATCTGCATACTTCACAATATGGGTAGTGGCAAACCTTGCATAACAGTCATAGGTCAACAGGGTGAACAACAGCAGACTTAGGTCACAGCATTGAGGGGAACCTATGCTCAAGAAAATGGTGTTAGAAATATTAGTCCCAACTCTATTGGTACTCCATTCTCCCAGCTTCTCAGTATAAGAGAGGAGCAGCAGGAAAAGCAGCCTCCAGGGTGGATAGATAGAATCAATGTATGCATGAAAGTTGCAGCAGCTTGAATAGTAGCCTAGTGGATGCTGAGCTTCAAGCTGAAGCTGCAGAAAGCTGAGCCATGAGCGACCTGACAGATGGCTCAGCTGCAACTGTTTCACAGCAAAGTGGATGGCCTCCTTTCACCATCTGCCAGGGGGTCACAGGTGACATCCAAACATTGGGATTGTGTGTGGGAGGGAGCTAGAGAGTGATCACACAGACAGAAAGGGAGATGCCAAGGACTGATTTATAGGCATGCATTTGTTGGGCTCAACTGGACAGTTTGCTTATTCCAAAAGATTCTACATACAGTTTACAGCTGTGGCCTGTGTAAGCTTCCTGAGTGGAGTGGAAAGGGAGGGCCATGGACCTCTGGCTGAAAGCATATTTGCTGGTACGCATGAGTATGTGGCAAGCTGCCCATAGGCACAGACCATATACTGACAAAGTGCTTAGCTGACTTATTGGCTAAGCCTCTCTGAGGCTGTTAGCATGCAGGATCTGACTTTTGCCAAATACCTCTGTTTTGCTCAGAGGTCGGTCTTCACATAATGAAGACACAATGCTTTGAGGGAATGCTGCTTATAAGTAGGGAGTGCTTAGTGACTAACTGCTTTATTAACAACTCTGTAAGTCCTTTTGCAGCAGAAGCACAAGAGAAGAAAATGAAATCACATCATCACATCATCATGCAAATTGTGTGCCACATGGCATAGGATGTTGGGTGCAGCTGATGCAAATTATGTAATTGGTATGACTTCACCATGATTTCTACCAAAAGCCTCCCCTGTGATACATATTAGGATATAATTGCACAATACACTATGTCATCTTATTAGAAAATGAGGGTGCTCCCATCTTACAATCCTGTGTGGTTTTTTTATCCACCATCAGTGGCTTTCCCACATTTAACCATATCATCTGAATGTGGAGTAGTAACCATTTCCAGTTAATATAAACTAGAACTGAGCATATTTTCAAACCTCGACTTGTGTTAATTGGAAATAGCTGCTCTTGAGTTTAGTCAACATCAGTACAATAGGAAAACCACCAGCTATGATCAACTAACCTCACAGGATAAGGATAAGCTGTGGTGGCGCAATGATTAGAATGCAGTATTGCAGGCAAACTCACTGCTCACTGCCAGAAGTTTGATTCTGACTGGCTCAAGGTTGACTCAGCCTTCCATCCTTCAGAAGTCAGTAAAATGAAGACCCAGATTGTTAGGGGCAATATGCTGACTCTGCAAACTGCTTAGAGAGCATTGTAAAACACTATGAAGTGGTATATAAGTCTAAGTGCTATTGCTTAGTGCTAGAGGTTGGCAGCATCCAGATTTACATCCATCGGTTAGATTAGCTTAGTGTATCATGAGAAATGTTCAAAAAGTT